GGGACATATCCCACGACTCTAGCATCTCTAACATCTTGGGTTCTCTAAGACAATCCAGGCTTTAACTTCGCAGCTTCATTCTCTCTAGGTCTCAGATCAGGGACACCCCTGACACCTGCCTAGCCTCAGCAGCTTTCCTTAATCCCAGGGGCAAATTCCATAACCCGTTTATTCTACCTTTAACTCTAAGTCCAGAGCCATGTGAAGGTGAAGACAAACTAGGGCAATGTTATACAATCCAAGGAGGACCAAGGACAGCCCTCATCCATCAGACTTGAGTGGCAGCCAGGAGTTTGAGCGTATGCCTGGAATCCTGGTACACAGCCTGGGAAAGACCTTATTTCAAGAGGAAAAGAGAGAGATGAAAAGAAAAAGGTGAAGGAGGAAGAAGTGACAAAAAAGAGGAAAAGGAAGAAGTAGAGGAAGAAGGTTAGCCGAAGAAGCAGAAACAGAGAAAGACTCAACAGGCATGGGAGGAAAGAGAGGGAGAAAGGAGGAGGAGGAGGAAGAGGAGGTGAAGGAGGAAGAGGAGGAGGTGAAGAAGGAAAGAGGAGGTGAAGGAGGAAGAGGAGGTGGAAGAGGAGGAGGTGAAGGAGGAAGAGGAGGTGAAGGAGGAAGAGGAGGTGAAGGAGGAAGAGGAGGTGAAGGAGGAAGAGGAGGTGAAGGAGGAAGAGGAGGTGAAGGAGGAAGAGGAGGTGAAGGAGGAAAGAGGAGGTGAAGGAGGAAAGAGGAGGTGAAGGAGGAAGAGGAGGTGAAGGAGGAAGAGGAGGTGAAGGAGGAAAGAGGAGGTGAAGGAGGAAGAGGAGGTGAAGGAGGAAGGAGAGGAGGTAAAAGAGGAAGAGGAGGAGGTGAAGAAGGAAAGGAGGAGGAAGAAGAAGTGAAGGAGGAAGAGGAGGAGGTGGAGGAGGGAGAGGAAGAAGAGGTGAAGGAGGAAGAGGAGGAAGTGAAGGAGGAAGAAGAGGAGGAAGAAAAGGTGAAGGAGGAGAAAGTGAAGGAGGAGGAGGTGGAGGAGGAAGGAAAAGAGAAGGAAGCAGACACACACGAGTAAGAAGAGGAAGGGGAGAACAAGGGGAAGGCGGCAGCAGCAGCTGAGGAGGTGCCTGGAGCAGATTCTTCCTCAGAGCCCTGTAAACCACCAGCCCTGGCCACACCGTGGTCTCCAGGTTAGGGAAAGCACATCTCCATTGTTTACATTGTGAGACCAAAATGAGCCATCTTAGATATAAGACCAAAATGCCTTCCCTTCACCCAAAAACTAAGGCCTAAGATTTTTCCTTCTAGGAATAGGCCAATAGTTCCTGAAACAAGTCAGTTCAGATTCCAGAAACCGGGAAGTGTAAAAGTACAGAGTCACAAGGTAGTCACGAGGTAATGCCTGCCAGACTATGGAATGTCCTCTCCCTGGTTTCCAAGGTAACTGACCATAAAAATGCCCCCACCTGAGGGCAGCCAATGAGAAATGGTGGCGGGCATTTTTATGGTCACTCCCTTAGAAGTAATTTCTAGAAGTCCCTAGAAGCGAGCCAATCAGAATTGTGCCTGTACTAGCACCCCTAAATGATGTAACCTTGTGGCTTTTGCCTTTAAAAACTGAGCTTGCCAGCACTCGGGAGGCAGAGCCAGGCGGATCTCTGTGAGTTCGAGGCCAGCCTGGGCTACCAAGTGAGTCCCAGGAAAGGCGCAAAGCTACACAGAGAAACCCTGTCTCGAAAAACCAAAAAAAAAAAAAAAACAAAAAAAAAAAAAAAACAAAAAACTGAGCTTGCAGACAGGCGGGCACTTCTTCCAGCCTCCACTGCATTGGATCTGTTGGACGAAGTCCCTGCCTAGGCTTGTATTGCTTTTGGATATCCAGAATTAAACCTTGCTTTTGCATTCCGGCATGCTCGTCTTTGGTGGTCTCTCTGGGGGTCACAACAACATGACCTGGTAAGGTCCTTTGCTACTCCAGTCATCAAGGTACCAGTGCACATCCTGTAGCACTCCAGCTGCAGTCCTCAGCAGCATAGCTGGAGTCTGTCTCCGGCAGTGAAGGTGGTGTGGCCTTTAGCTTGTCTCTGCATGCAGTCCTCAGGTGCTGTGACCTGGTCCCTAGCCCTCCAGGGATGTGCCCAGGATCAATTGGCCTCTGATAGCATCAAATGACTTGGGCTACAACCTCATTCCAAATCTGTGCAACTGGGACACAGTCTCTCAGAGGGAGAGTTGAATGAGGCATCTTTGTTTTCCAGATGTTAGTAGATCTACTGATTCACAGGACCCTTCATCCCAGGGATCATGGTGGGCCAGGGCAGGCCAAGGCACAGAGAGATGTTTAATGAGACCCACCCCGGGTCCTGAAGGACTTCTTTTTCCATGTTCCTTGGAGTCAGGGCTGTGCAGAAAACTTTGGAACTCTGGCCCAGTGGACTCCAAGCTAGGGACAATGGTGAGTAGGACCCATGAAGCCAGCCACCACCTTAGAGTGTCCATGCTGAGCCACCTGCTGGCTGGGCAGGTAGTTGCCACAAGCCCTCATGTAACACACTCAGCTAGCAAACATTTTTAGGTGCACACTGGCCCAGTCCAAAACATGTTTGGCATTCATTTTTTCATGATAATTCTGGAAGGTTACATATTCTTAAAAAACATAATTATAATATTTTCAAGTAGTTAATATTCAATTTTTTTCCATGAAGTCAGCCCTCTGAGTTCTTTGAACATAAAATTTTCAAGCCACGTTGTAGCACATATGAGTACTCCACTCCTTTGACAGCCAAGTACTATTCTATCGTGTGGATAGAGCACATTTTATTTCTCAGTTGTTGGTGGACTGACATGTAGGTTGTCTCGTCTCTTGACTAGTGTGAATGATGATTGTATAAACATCTGTGTAAAAGTTTTTGTGGGGACGTGATTTCATTTTTCTTGTCTATGTAGGGCTGGGGTGGGATTACAGGGTCGTGTAGTCTACCATTTGAGACACTGCTGGGCTGTTTTCAAAGCAGCTGCACATGCTGCATCCCAGGAGCAGTGTGATAGTTCATGTCTCCACAGCCTCTTATGGCTGAGTACATGAGATACATGAGATAATGCCCCATGTGGTCAGACTCACATTCTTCTGGTGGCAAGAGGTGCTGATCATCTTTCCATATTGTTTGGCCAAGGAATGTATGTTTTTTTTTTTTTTTTTTTTTTTTTTTTTTTTTTTTTTTTTGGTTTTTCGAGACAGGGTTTCTCTATGTAGCTTTGCGCCTTTCCTGGAACTCGCTTTGGAGACCAGGCTGGCCTCGAACTCACAGAGATCCACCTGGCTCTGCCTCCCAAGTGCTGGGATTAAAGGCGTGCGCCACCACCGCCCGGCCTGGAATGTATGTTTTTAATAAGGATCCTCCACCTTACCTCCCACTCAAATTATTCTGAGGACACATTCAAGTTCCTATAGAAAGGTCTCATGGGACTTGACTTGGCTTATATAGGGTGTGTCTCTTGCTCCTCCAAGCAGGGAGGAGACATCAGACACAGACAAGATATCCTGGCTGTGACTCCAGGGTAGGAGGGCAAGGGGAATGCAGGGGTCTAAACCTTAGAGATGATGTCATGACTTCCAAAATGACTATTCTATTCAATGTAGGGCCTGAGGCTCCAAATTTTATTCAGATTATTCTGTAGTGTCAGAGTGTCTGGTATTTTCTCACAGAGACTGAAGTCCCTATGGTTGACAAGCTCTCCTTAGGAAACCCCTTCAAGGATATGGGTTGCTGATAGGTATCATTGCAAGATACTCACTTGGTCACCTGGTCTAGTGTGGGAGCCGTTCTCGGGTTCCTCGTGGCTTTACCCAGCATGTCCGCATAGAGGATGATTAGGACCACGGGCCTGAGTGCAGGTGTCTGGGATGGTCTGCACTTGGCTGTGCTGGGGGAGGAGGTCTTTTGCTCCACCCCTTGGCGTCTCTATAAAAACCCTGGGGCAGAGACAGTCGGGGCCTGTTGGAATAGGTTCCAGGCCCTCTCGAGGCTATCCTTTATTTTCTATCTGTTTATCTCCGCGATATTCTCCGCAATAAATCCTTCTATCTAATATTTCCTGCTGCTCACACTCAAGAAAACTCTGGGGAACTGTGGGGGTGGTTGGGTAAATGCCCCACAGTCTAGGTAGGTGGCACAGATGGGCACCACTGCATCACCTGGTCCAGGTATGTGGCACAGATGGGCACCACTGCATCACCTGGTCCTGGTATGTGACACAGATGGGCATCGCTGCAGGATGCTCACTTGGTCACCTGGTCCACGAATCTGTTGGGCTTCTCCACTGTAAAGTCACTGGGTTTTCCCTGGGGACCAAGGAACCTAGGGAGATAGTTTCAGACTAAGCATTTTAGTACACTTGTGAGCTCACCTGTGGTGATACAATAGGTCCCCTCCCTTTTCTTCTGCAGTACTGAGTGGGAACTCTTCACAAGAATCCGTGCCCCGCTCACCACGTTTTCATTTACGTGAATTGGTAGAGCTGGGTGGGTAGTCATTTGTTCTGTAGGCCATCACTCCAAAGTCATTTTTTTTTTTTTTGCTTACTATTTTGAGACAGGGTTTTTACACTATACCCCAGGGTAGTGTTGAACTCATGGCAATTCCTCTGCCTCAGCTTCCTGATCCTCTACTATCACAACATTCCTTCTCCAGCTAGTCCTTGGCAGTTGTGTGCTCTCAGGATGGCTCCTACATCTCTGCCATGATCCTCCACCACTCATCTTGCATCTTTGTTGACCCAGCCCTGGGACTGCAAGAATTGGATGTGGAGGCAGAAGGGTGGACACAAGTCTTGCGTTATGAGCTCAGGCCACTACTCTTTATCATGAGGTGACAGGTTCCCGACACTACCTGACACACACACACACACACACACACACACACACACACACACACACACACACACACACGTGTGCTCTACCAAGCAGGTCATGCACCAATGAACACCTGCATGCGTATTCCCCAAGAGAGTGAGACCAGAGCAATCCCTCCGGGGGCTCATCGTCACCTTTATTAGCAGGGTAGCTGGCTGGACTGACACTTTCACTAGGACTGTGTGGACAGATTCTGAGAGGCTGCAACAGGGGGACACCAGTGATGGTCAGCTAGGGTCTGAAGAAGGGATACAGAGCACAGTGAGGGGTCACCATGGCACCGCTGCAGCACAAGCTCCTGAATATTCCCTGAGCCTCACCTGAGACAGAAAGCAGAGAACCCATCCTGTTCATTCCAGTCCACGAGGGACAGTACCTCTCACAGACTTGGAGCTTTTGGACTCTGGCTACTTTCTGGAGGTGAAGTCACACTGACCACCTCTGAGAACTCCTTCCTCCCAGCCTGGGCCAGTCAGTTGTCCCCAATAAGCCTTAGGACTACACATCGCCAACTCTCTGACACAGCTGCCTCTGCCCTGGTGACAGTGGAGGCACCGTCTCCGTTCTTGCAAGTCTGCCTGTGACCTGAGAGAGAGGGAAAAGAAACTTCCACTTCCCAAGAAAGCTGGAAGGAAGAGAGGGCAGAGGGCAGACTGATTCTGGGCAGGCCTCCACGGGAAGTGGGACTTCTCAGTGCTTCAGCTGAGACACCTCGTACAGGTATGCTGCCAGCATCTTGGTCCCTTCTATGTAGTTGTGCCTAACAGCAAACAAAACAAAGACCGGTTATCAGCTGCTGCCCGAGGATTCGGGAGCCAGGTAGGCGGCGCTCACTGCGTTGTCGCTAGGGAGCACTCCTACTCCGCCTTGAAGTGTGGTCTGGCTTTGAAATTCAGCCTGGTGGTTCTCAACTACAAGTTCAGCGTGACCTCCTCCCGCCATTTCTCACTACAATAACTAGTCCCTGCTGTGAAATATTAAAGATGTGTTACATTCTTTTATGCTGTGGAATATTTGTTTAATGATGCAAAGATGTGTTGCATTCTTTTATGTTGCATTTGTGTAACGCTGTGGAACTGTGTTACTTTGCCAGATTAAAACACCTGATTGGTCTAATAAAGAGCTAAATGGCTAATAGCAAGGCAGGAGAGAGGATAGGCCCGGCTGACCAGGCAGAGGGAATAAATAAGAGAAAGACGGAGACAAGGGAGGAGCAAGAAAAGAAGGAGAGGAGGACGCCAGGGGTCAGCCACCCAGGCCACAGAGTAAGAAGGAAACAAAGGTATATAAAATAGAGAAAGGTAAAAGCCCAGAGCAAAAGGTAGATGGGATAATTTAAGTTAGGAAAAGCTGGCTAGAAACAAGCCAAGCTAAGGCTGGGAATTCATAAGTAAGAATAAGTCTGCCTGTATTTATTTGGGAGGTGGGTGGTGGGCCCCCAAAGGAAAATAAACAAATAAACAACAAAAACCAACTATAGGTCCTGGCCCTGGTCTAGGGCTTTGTCTCACCCAGTGCCCTGGGTGTGAACAGCTACTGTTTCTGAAAATCAGCTCTTTGACCCATAGCCCAGTAGCCAGGTTTCTGCCGCTGTGACTGCTGGGTCTCTGCTTCCTGTTTTCCTCTCAGCTACAGGGCTGTAGCTTCCCACACTGCCTGCAGCCTGCTTGCCTGGGTCCCTCCTCCCTGCTGCTGGAAGGCTCTCTCCATCCTGCAGGCTGGAGAGAACCCCCGAGTATCTGCCTGTCAGAGGCAAAGGGCTTGGTCAGTCAGTGATGTAACTTTTCAAAACGAAGTGGTGTTTTATGGGTGCTACACGAAGAGTGTGACGAACAAAGAATGCTAGATGAACCCTGTTTTCACACTGCCGCTACCAAGACCTTGTGCTGCCTCGCATCAGTTCTTACTACCAAACCCCTACGGGACAAGAGAGGAGTGATCACAGACCCACCACCTGCTGGAGGATGCACCCCAACCTTAGGCCTCAGTCTTACCTGTTGAGCTTTTCATTCTGGGAGTGGGCACCATCGTCTGCTGACCCCACCGGTAACAGCATGACATTTTTGCCCGTGGCCTCCTGAAAGGTCAGGGTCACAGGAATACTGCCACCTTCCCTGGTCAAGTCAGGTTCAACACCGAACACTGGGAAAAGTAAAATAAAGAGAAATGATGGACTTTGGGCCCTGGATGCCAGAGAGCCACCACTTACCAACCTTTGGTCCAGACCCTGGGCTCAGGAATCTACTCTTGTAGACTGAGTCCCTGATCTCACCCCACCCTTCAGCCCTGCTCACAACACGATCGACCCAGTCATGTGTACATGTGTACCACATGCTACAACAGAGTCTCCTTGGACATTCTCAGGGCCCTGGCATCCACCTCCAGAGGGCTGCCAACCTGTTTTCAGGGCTCTTCTCCCAGCCTGGTAATGGGGATGGTTGAAGTCAGACACCCAAGGCTTTCCACCATGGCCCATGTACACCTTGAACTTGTTGGGGCTGTGCAGTTCAGCAAATTTTTTTGACAGGTAGCTCGAAACCTAAAGCATAAGCAGAAGAGACACATGGTATTTTACACCCGGGATTGGACCCAGTGAGAAGATCTGCAGGGTGTGTAGCAATCCTGACAACGAGTTGGGCATAATGGGTCTACACAGCATCGACGAGTCTAGAAAGGATCTGTGGCGAGCTTCATCTGCTGCTGCCGGACACTGATGTGCATATAACCACTGCAGCAAGAAAGAGGGCCTCAGCAAGGGATTTGTTTGAGCTGAAAACAATGTGTTAATTTCAACCAGTTCACCCTTGACACAGACATACCAAATTATGACAGTATGTAAAAACCGAGCAAAGACCATGCTGTCTGACCTGATTCATTCAACAGACAGGGTATCTGTGTCCTAAAATGCCTATGTTGACACTTGGGCTAGATTTAGAATTTCGTAGGAGACATACTTCTGGGTGAAGACCCCGCAGGATGTGGGCAGCATCATTCTAAAGGCGGAGTCTTAGGCTGAATAAAAGGGGCAGGGGAGAATGCATGCTGAGCATCAGGATTCATCTCTCTTCTCTCCCTGACTGAGAACATGTGACCAGCACATGTCCTGATGGCCTATACCCTCAAACTGTGAGCCAAATCAGCCCTTCTTTGTTCCTTTGGTTTTCTTCAGGTATATGTTATATTTATATCTTTGTATTCTTCAGGTATATGTTATATTTATATCTTTGTATTCTTCAGGAATATGTTATATCTTTGTATTCTTCAGGAATATGTTATATTTATATCTTTGTATTCTTCAGGAATATGTTATATTTATATCTTTGTATTCTTCAGGAATATTTGTTATAGCAATGAGAGAAAAAGCACTCATCCTATACACACACACACATACACACACACACACACGCGCACGCACATGCACACACACATAAGATAGATAGTGATGCACACCTGCCATTTCAGCACTCAGGAAGTCCTGGGCCAGTCTGAGATACATAAACCAAGGTGGGGGATGGTTGGAGAGATGCACAACTTTAAGAGTACTTTGGTTCTTAGCACCCACATTGTGGCTCACAACCACAGCTAATTCTAGTTCCAGGGGATTCGGTGTTCTCTTCTGGCCTTTGTGAGCACCAGGCACACATGTGGTATATAGACCTCTATGTATGCAAAACATTCATATACATAACAAATCAAGGGTGAACTGGTTGAAATTAACACATTGTTTTCAGCTCAAACAAATCCCTTGCTGAGGCTCTCTTTCTTGCTGCAGTGGTTATACAGAACCAAGGGGCAAGGGGTTGCTCTAGGGATGCTGCCTCAAGAGAAAAGCCTGTCCTCCTCTGGAGAGAGGCCCCAGCATCCTCTTCCCAGAAACCTCTGACTCCATCTCTTTATGAAGTCTCGCTAATCAACGAGGCATGTGTTGCATGAGCCTCACTGACCTGCAGCTGCCCAGATCCTCCCTTCCTTTCCTCACCTCCTAGAAAGGTGCCTCTCTGGGGCTTTATATCTTTGGGGTGAGGTCAGAGGTCATATTTTCCCATGCCTCAGTAGTGTGTGTAATGCTTGCTCATATGGCCTTTGTCTTTGCCAAGCTTCCATACTGCTTATCACAGCAAATATTGCAGGGCAGGAGTCAGGAAGTGGATGCTTCTGCCCAGGAGAAAGTTCTTACTGTTTTAACATCACAGCAGCTCTCAGCTGCCATGTGTACCCCACAACTTTTGCCCCCACTCATGCCCTGCATCTCCACATACCTGCTCACTAACAACTTCTGGTATCATGTCTGGCACGAGCCTGATGGAGAACTTGCCGACCACTTTCCTGGGGATCACAGTCTTGGCCCCCGAACCAGAGAAGGCTCCTTCAATTCCATGGAGGGAGAGGGACGGGTACCGCCATCTGTGCATCAGGATGTCTTTCTGCAGAAGCACAACAGGTCAGATCTGTTCACCGAGGAGACGGGATATCTACACAGGAGGTGTGAATGAGGACATGGGGATCCCTGCCCAGTAGGGCTGGTCAGAGCCCATCTAATGTGCTGGAATTACTGTCACATTACTCCAAAGGAGGGCCGTGCAGCCATAATGGCCTCAGGAGGTAATGGTGAATGACGCTGGTGGGGTATGCTGTGAGCCTCAGTCCCCAACAGGCTGAGATGTCTCTGTTCCTCTGTCAGCCCTTGTCAACTCCCAGAGTACTCTAGCCAGGCCTGACATCTCCTTTAGCCAGGCCCTCAGCCTTGTGCCCAGCCTGACTGATGGCACAACTGTTTATAGTTATTTATTCCTTTGACTCTGAGAAAGGTGAAACTGAGGCCTGTTTCTCATGCCCTGTCCCTGGGGCCTAGAAGAGGCTGGTGCACTGAGGTTGGCTAGACCAAGGTGATGAACTTGATATCCACACTCTTAAGACAAGAAATAAATTAAGAAAAAATTTTCCTCCTACTAGTTATATAATAGCAAACAGCTTCTGCCTTCATGCTCAGCTTAATCTCTGGGCCTTGTGGGAACAATGTGGCCCATAAACCCAAACAAAGCAAACAGCACCCGTGACAAGAGGGGGCTCTGCTCCCTCCGTGCATCTCCCCCAACCTCTGACCCGGTCAAAGGTTGAGCCTGACATCTGAAAACCCTAACAGCCCTCAACTTGACCACACCCTGCCTTTGATGACTCTGGAGCACATGCTCCCTCCTAGGACGAACCGCCTCTGACACTGGATGTCTTTGAGGCGTGGTGGACACGCCTGTCATGGGAGGCCTGGGGCCTGTTGGGGTGGGGGCACAGGAAGGCAAACGGTACCTTGCAGCTGTGCAGGAGGGTCCCAGCCCCCACATCCTTGGCGAACTCTTCCATATCGAAGTCAATATGGTCATAGAGCTTACACTCCTCATCTGTCACAGGAGCCACAGCCTCGTTGATGCCGGGGATGAGGATTTTCCCCTTCTTGTCTATCAGACAGCCTGAGGGAAGTGGGAGAGGGTGGAATGCTTAGCTGGGGCAGTGCATAAGCAGTGTTCTGAGATGTCCTGACTCAAGAACTCAGGTACCAGGGCAAATGGCCACCAGGAGCACCTGGGTGCATTATGCCAGTAAGTCAGTTGAGTAGCCCCAAGGAGGTAAGCAGGACCACTACTCACCCCTCTTTTTCAGAGAGAGACTGAGGAGCAGGTGGAGTGCATAAGTTAGCCTCCAGTTGTACACCAGGACATGAACCTAAAAATCCACACTAGTCAACATTTCTTGACAATGCAGATTCCACAAGAAACAAGGTCCTTTAAAGCTGGCGAGGGAACCTCTTAACGGCACAAAACAGTCTCTAACTACAGATGCAATGTCACCTCACCTGCGGGAGCCCTCATCCTGGGATGCAGGATGAGAGAAGGGGGTTACAGAACTACATGGAGGCAATGGCTTGTGCTAGTACAATGCTAGACAGAAGCTGTGGTTCTTGCTCTCCAGAATCTGACCAAGCAGGGGGATCAGTTATGGCCAGTTAGAACAGATCACAGCAGATGACCTCTGAGAGCTGTGAAAACCATGTCCACAAGAACGACAGCATCCAGGGCTTCTAAGGGACAGGCTGAGCAGGACTGAGGGTCCTTAGCTGGGGCTAAGGACGCCCATCTATAAAGGGAATGGGAAGTTCCCTCACAGAACAGAATCAATCCATGTCCACTGGATGTGGAAGGGAGAACAGTTCTATAGATGGTGAGGTATGGGAAGGTGCAGGAAGGACAGGAAGGGGCAGAGGCAGGAATGAAACACAGGGCCCTTTAAATGAAACAATGCCCAGAGGAAGGGAACTTAATTAGAAACACGGCTGAGTAGGCTCATGAAGGATGCTGAAACACACTAGGCATACACATAGATAGCTTAGAAAAAGTGCCCTGCCCACAAAGTGCTGACCCAGAGAGCTCCAGCCTAAGCTCACCCATCAGTGAAATGAGATCCGTCATGGCCTCGTGCACTGAGCCACCATACACCCCAGAATGGAGGTCTTTGTCACTGCATTCCACCTGGACAGAGACAAAAGGTCACTTTATTTGGTGGCTTAGTGGGAGCTTATTTTAATTATGTGACATTGCATTGACAAAGAACAGTTGCAAGACTGACAGTTTCTAGTCCAAATCTGCTCCCTCAAGGAGCAAAGCAAGCCATTTCCCAATTAGAAAATCCAGATACAAGAGAGACTCCTGGATGTGCAGACCACGTGTACACTGGGGATGCCGTCTGCAGGTGTGCACTGGGGATGCTGTCTGCAGGTGTGCACAGGGGATGCTGTCTGCAGGTGTGCACAGGGGATGCTGTCTGCAGGTGTGCACAGGGATGCTGGGTGCAGGTGTGCACAGGGGGTGCTGTCTTCAGGTGTGCACAGGGGATGCTGGGTGCTGATGTGCACAGGGGATGCTGGCCACAGATAGAAGTATGACACAGAGCAGCCTTAACACTGATAAGCCTTTTAAAAGGAAGGATAGAATCTTGTCATTTTGCAGAGACCCTGCACATGTTTCCTCAGAGGACAATACCTAGCATGATGCATGACCCCATCAACATGAAACCTGAAGATCTGGTTCAGACCCATCTTAGTACTGATTAGTCTTATAACCAGGCAAGCCAGGTAACCATGTGTGCTTAGAATCCCATCTATAAGGGAATGGAAGTTCCCTCACAGTACAGAATCAATGTAACATGCACGAGTCTCAGTACAGCTATGGCCATGGGTTCTGCCCTATCAGGCAGGTGATAAAGATCTTCAGCAGGACCCATCATCATCATCCCAGTGGGAGAACTCTTCACCAGCACCCGGCAGAGTTTGCCCACTCTCCTTGCCCATCTGGCAGAATCTCCACTCTCTCAAGAAAACTCAGACATGCGATTAGAACTTACTTGCTATAAAGTGTGACCATTTTACCTTTTAAAGGGAGGGTTCTCATGTGTTTACTTGTCCAGGCCATCTCAGGAGGACTAGCCTTTGCTGTCATCTACTCTAATACAATATCACAGATAATACTGTCTTAATTTGAAACTGCCTGAGATGGAACTTCTGATCTCATAAGCCCAGGCCTGGGGTATTAGTGGATTATGGAACCCAAGAAGGGTCCTGGGAAGCTCCGAGTGCCTCCTTCATGTATGATTAACTTCTTGGTATTTGCCTGTGTCAGGGTACGCAAGAACAAAGAGGCTTATAGGTTGGAGAGGAACAAGGGATGTTTGTGGGACTCAGCTCGTACCTCAATGAAGAAGTAACAAATGCCTCGGAGGCCGTACGTGATGCAGGGCTTATTCTTCCCCAGCCAGTAGTTGTCTGAAATGCAGACATAGTCCACATCTTTGAAGAACTTGTCTTTCTGGGCAAAAATTAACTCATCCAGGCCTTCGGAGCCAGATTCCTCCATGCCTTCCAGGCAGAATCGCAGGTTGACAGGAATCTCCTGTGACAGGGACACAGCAAGACAGTCAGTTTCCTTACTTTTCTTGCAGAAGCAACACACAAGAGACTATTTTGAAATTTAGTTTCAAATATGAGATCTTCTCTGAATGGCCTGTGGGTGTCCAGGGTTCGAAGGGAAAGCCCCTACACCATGTCTAGGCATGTCCTGCCCAGGGATCCCTGCAATCACAGAGTGAGCCAATGAATGTAGGGGAAGCCATGAGACAGGGAGAAGGCCGATGTACACTGGCCTAAAGAGCACTGACTGCTTTTGCAGAGGACCAGGGTTCCATTCCCAGCACAAACATGGCTGCTCACAACTGTCTATAACTCAACTTCAGACCTCCACATGTATGCATACCCCTGTGCAAATGTACCCACATGCAAGTTAACACACACATACACACATAAGAGGAATCAGGAGAGAATATTTTTTGAATAATCACTGAGCCTTCACTTTTGCTGTGGCTAAGTGAGACCTTTCCTGCACTGGGATGGCCTTCTACACTGACAGCATCTCTCTGTACAAGAAGCCAAGAAGTCCTAAGGTGCTCGATGGGAATCTCAGCACAGCTCTGGCATCTGGGTCAAGTTCTCTGGAGGGGATGCAGCAGGTAGCCTATCCACAGATGAGCAAAGGAAGCCACACATGAGCTAGAGGCCACACACAGCCAGAATCCAAAGCCTAAAAGCCCCAGCTCCCTCCTCCTGTCCTCTTCTGTCCCAAGTGAGATCTTTCCTGTTACATACTGAACAGCTCTAAGTGAAGGTGCTCAGGGCTCCGTCCTGTGCACCCTCCCCTCCATGGCCTCCCAATACTGTGTGGTGTCTTATAGTTGCTGAGTCTTCCTGGTTTCTGTGCTCAGTTCTTAGGGTCAGCTGTTGGACAGGCCAAGTGAATGTGTGTGTGTGTGTGTGTGTGTGTGTGTGTGTGTGTGTGTGTGTGTGTGTGTGTGTGTTTTAACCTGTTTTCTCCCATGCAGATGATCCCCAGACAAAGAGTGTAAGCCTCTTCCCTAATTTTCCATACTTTGACACAAGTACCTATTCTTATTTTATCATGCTGTGAAATAATCCATATGCAAAAACTGACCAGACAGCAGGATCACAACCAGGTTTAAAGATAATAAAAAAAACCTGGGTGTGGCGAGCCACAAGAATATACTACAGAGATTCAACTGTGTATTAAAGCTAACTTTGACCGGCCAAGGGTCTGTCAAGAGGCAAGCCATTTATTATGAATATTTGGTGTTATCCAGCCTTTAATATTTCAGCTGTCTTCTGCTATGAAATTCTTGCATGCCCAAATATTCCCAGACCATTTGGCAAACAGTTCAGCTCCCCAGACCTGCTGAACTTCTAGGTACCTAACCTCCCTGCTGGAGCCAGTCCTTGGATAAGGTCTCAAAACAAAATAAACAACAAAAAAGCCCAAAAACATTTGCAATAAAATAAAATAAAATTCAATTCACACTTGGGGATGGAGGCACAGCTCAGTGGTACAGGAATTTCCCAGCATGCATAAGGACCTGGGTTTGATCCCAGCACAGAAAGAAAAGAGAAAAACAAAGATCACATTCTAAGCGCTGGCAAGAATCTTGCTGAGTGGTGACAGCTTGACCTTTGGCCTTTGAGCATCTGTAAGACAATGCCCTGGTTAATAATTTATAGAGCTGAAAACAGCTGTAACTTCTATCTCAGTCATCTGTGCTGACCAAGGTGGGGCTTGCTTTCTCCTCTCTAGTGATCTTTACACCACTACTCACACGACCTGATGAGTGGACAGAATCTGGCGTGGGGGTGTACCTGGCCAGTCTTCTGATAGGCTTCGAGGGCATTCATCCATCCGGCCACAGGCCCCTTATCGTCCGTTGAGCCTCTCCCATACAACTTGCCTGCAATCAGCAGATCCAGTTAGAGACAGCAAATCGAAAAGACCTTTTCTCAAGTGAACATCTGATAATGCCGAGGTGCAAACTCACACAGCTGTCCTGAGCAATGAGGGTTTTTTCACTTTAAAAGCCCGAGTCTCCATCCGACCCTATACAAAACTCAGAGAGAATTTCTAGCACTCCAAGAGGCAGTCATGTGGGTGCCTCCTGTTACCTTTCCCTTTCACAGCAGTGGCTAGGACCAGGATTCACGGAGACTCACCATCCATTTCCAGGAAACCCCTACAGGTAGTTAGCCCTTTAAGACTAAGTGCCACATAGCTAACAGCAACCATGTGGAAGTTTGGTTGCTTTGGAAGCACATGGCCACCATCATAAAGCACGACAACTATACTCCCATCCCAATTTGGATGCCTAATCTGAATCTACTGGGAGGTATTTAGCTCAAAGAAGCATGGTTGGGTCACTGGGCTCAGCACTGGGGTGTCCTCAGCTTGGTCGGGTCATCAGGATCAGCATTGGGGTGTCCCTAGCATGGGTGGGGCAGAGGCTGGGAAGGGACTAGAGATGGCACACAGCAGGGACAAGACAGCCCTGTTTCTGGTACAGGTGGTGGGAAGGTGTGCCGTTCAAAGGAGAGAGAGCCCTTGAAGGAAGGGAGGATTCCCAGTCCAGGCAGCTTGAATTCATGTAGCCATAAACTGCCACGAAGACATGTGGGTCTGATACTCAGGAGGAATCCAAGTGCCCATGGAGTTATAACAGCAATGGGTACATCCCAGTTAGGTGGTGAGGAGGACCCGAGTATGGGATGAGGTTTCATAAAAGCTGTGTTAGATAAAATGACTTTTCACATTTCACAGTCATGTAACAGTCCACAGGGAGTCAGGATGTGTCTAACAGCAGACTCCAAACCCAGTTAGGGGGCCTGGAATTCAGCCCTGGGGGGCAAGGCTCAAAGGCAGAAGGGGCTATATCTGAGGGACTCTCCTGACCAGAACAGTGACAACTGAGAAGGGAAGCTGAGCATTTCACAAGAGGGAGTGAGAAGGAGAGGCTGGCCTTCAGGGGACTATGCAGTCTCAAATTGGAAAGAATGTTCTGGAAAATGTGTTAGGATTGAAAGGAAGCCTGGCAGGCTCCCATCAAGGAGTGTCATGAGAAAAGGAAAACTCTTCTCAGCTTTCAATAACCGAGGCACGGATGAGAAACTTCCAGAACCCAACCTCTTGATGCTGTTAAAAAAAAAAAAAAAAAAAAAAAAAAGGTGCCAGAAAGAGAAAACCCCAGGATATTTTAATGCTTTTCCAAACGTTAACATCTTCAAAACTACTCCTCTAATGTTGAAAATGAACACTTTGGTGGGTGGGCAAGCACGGGGTCCCTTACCTTCCCGCTCCACCAAGGTGAAGGGCTCACTGTCCCAGCCGTCCTCCAGGGCCGCAGGCTGCACATCCAGGTGCCCGTAGATGCACACTGTTTTCTTCTGGGGATCGCTGCCCAGCTTACCCAACAGAATGGGAGGCAGGGGTATCTCCGAGCCATCTGGGAGCTGGTGGGGGGGGTGGGTAATGGAAGACAGTCTGGTTAATAAACCGGGAGTGTCTGGCAGCTGCCATTAAATCTAGCTGGGATGGTCTTATCTGTTCTCATCCATCAACCTCTGCTGTAGAGTTTTAAGATCCTATCACTTAACAGTTCTTAATTAATAAGGACTTCACTGTCCCGAAATCCAATAATTTCTTGAAACCCAATGAGCATGAACTGAATGACACCCACAACTAGTTTGATAAACTGCTAAAGGCTGCTTTAAAATCATCAATATCCACGATAAATATTTGTAGCCTGGGTCTGGGATACAACTTAACTAATTTTTGAAATAATGGCTAAAACAACTACAATCTACAGTTGAATGCTACATTTTTGAAATTCTATACGCAGACAACTAAGATGAGCAGGATGGACATGAAGGGAATGCAGGGTTGGGAGATGGCTCAGCAGTTAAGAGTGCTTTCTGCTCTTCCAGAGAACCTGAGTTCAGGTCCCAGAACTCACATCAGGCATCACAACCACCTATAACATCAACACCTGGGGATCTGATGATCTCTTCCAGCCTTTCTGGCCACCGGCAGACATGTTGCTTACAAACACTTGTGAGCACACGCCATACACACACAACATACACTCACTTAAAAAGAAAATCTTCAAAACAGGAAGAAAGAGAATTCACACAATGCCTGGTAAAGGAAAGGTAGTAGCCGGCACTCCCCCTGGACTTCTCCCCAAAGGCCTCGCCAGCTATCCAGGACACTACTTGCAGAATTCTAGACAAATCAGTCTTAAGTCTTTTCCTATCTTTACATCAGATCAATGGTTACCACTTGTGACTCTGTGGCCCAAGCAGAATGTACTCATGCCCTGCAGCCCATGTGCCTCCTCTACTAGCTCCTATATTTTATCAGAAAAACCTTGTGATGACAACCAAGTACACAAGCAGTTGACAGGGGAGGACATCACACACACACACACACACACACACACACACACACACACACACACACACACACACGTCTGATGGTAGGAGGAAGGGACTATTCCAGCTAGAACATCATGCACATGTACTGAAGTGCTGGAAACCACTACAAAGAACTATGGTGAAAATGTCTCCTAACAGCACATAACGCACAAACTACATTGACAGCGCAGGGAGAGCCAGACTGCCTGGAAGCCATGACCCCACCAACGCTAGACTAACAATTTATGATTAAGAATAAAATGAGCAGCAACTGAAAAGGACAGGTGGGGGAGGACTGAGAACACTCTCATCTCCCAAATTCCAGCCTGTAAACAGGTCAGAGAACTCAGCGGGTGGTTGGAATTCTTCGGTGGTTTTTTTTTTTTTGAGACATGTTCACTGTACGGGCCAGCCTAGCTGGCCTTGAACTCAAGAGATCCTCCTTCCCTTCCCTGCCTGAGTGCTGGGATTACAGGAATACACCACCACACCCAGCAGGTGTTAGGGATTCTTCTAAGAATACACAATTTAGCCAGGTGGTGGTGGCAGAAAAGGGCGGCGCACGCCTTTAATCCCAGCACTCGGGAGGCAGAGGCAGGTGGATCTCTGTGAGTTTGAGGCCAGCCTGATCTACAGAGTGAGTTCCAGGACAGGCTCCAAAGCTACACAGAGAAACCCTGTCTTGAAAAAAACAAAACCAAAACAACTAACCAGCCAAACAAAAAAGCCCGATTTATTTTCTTAGTAAACTCTACTAATAAAATACCCAAGTACCTCTTGACCCTGACAGCTCTGAGCATGTGCTATGAGGGCTGGGCCTGCACGCATATCGATTTCATGAGGTTGGCTTGTGGGCACCAGGGGGAGAGAATCATGCCTTAAACTTCTGGGCACATAGGGCACGTGGCCTTTTCCGTCAGTTAGTTCTTAGCTGGCCTGAGCAGGGAAATCTCTCAATTCCTTGATGAAAATGGGTGTTACCTAATGTGAAATAGTGTAACAGCCACTGCGTTCTTTTAAGGAGGGTCTTTAAAAAGATAACAGATTTATTTATTGTAATTTTGTTTGTTTGTTTTTTGAGACAGGGTTTCTCTGTATAGTCCTGGCTGCCCTAAAGGTGGGACCCCCCCCCCATTTATTTACTGTAAAGAAACTCTTACAAATGACTTACCCCACCTAATTATTTTCATTTTTTGTTCAACACAATGAGAAGAATGGAGAGGCAGCAAGCAAGGAAGGCAAAGGAACGAGTAGGCATGGCGGCTTACACTGTTGGCTTACAACCCTGGCATTTGGGAGGCCAGACTGGACTACAGAGTAAGACCTCGCCAAAGAAAGAAATAATTAAAAATTTAAAAAGACTAAACTAGAAAGCTAAAGAAAACAGAATGAAGAAACTTAGTTTATTCCCGGGGTGTCGGGGGTATGTGTTGGGAAGCTGCTATTGTGTATCAACTATTAAATTGTCATCTGAAGAAAATCTCGATAGAAGTATTGGACCAAGAGTCAGGAAGCCTGGATCTGAATTCTGATTTTGCCTTGAAGGCACTTGGTTTCCAATGGTCACACTACCCCCTCGGATAAAATATGCACAGTGAATTGTATGGCTAACCCCACATTCCAGAAGCGTTCATTGCAACTGCACACCTAAGTCATCAGACACAAGACACAGGATAAGGTCAGGTGTGGTGGCTCATGCCTTAAACCTCAGCACTTGGGACACCAAGGGCATGAAGAGTGTCGTGAGCTCAGGGCCAGCCTGGGTTACACAGGAAGAAGACTGTCTAAAAACCAAACTAACAACGACAGAGTGAGCCTGAAAAGTCATGTGAAACTAAACGAGCAGAAAAATATATCGTAAAGTCAGATTATTTATTTAAGTAAGGAAGAAGCTGGGTGTGGTGGCGCATGCCTTAAACCCCAGTGCTTGTGGGGCAGAGGCACAGGGATTTCTGTGAGCTCCAGGCCAGTGTGGTCTACACAATGGGTTCCCGCCTGCCAGGGCTAGAGTTAGATCCTGTCTCAAACCAAAACCAAAACTAGTAACAAAAATTAAAAGGAAAACAAGCTGTTCTTAATGTACCCTTTCCACCCACAGATCCCTGATAAAAAGTTCTGGGAGGGGGTGATGCATGCATGAGGGTGGGGGGTGGGGGTGCATGCATGGGGATAGTGGTTTGGGGGGTAGGGGTGAATGCATGAGGGTGGGGGTAGGTTGTTATTTACTTATTTTTATGTTTTTGTTTTCAAGTGTATTTTCCCTTTTATTGAAGACAGATTTCTTTTCTCATACAATCTATCCTGATCACAGTTTTCCCTTCCTCTGCCCCTCCCAGTTTCCCTGTCATCTGGATCCACTCCCTCTTTGTCTCTCATTTGAGAAGAACAGGCTTCTAAGAGAAAACAAAATACAACAAAATAAAATATAATCATCACATCAAAGTTGGACAAGGCAAGCCAACTGAAGAAAAGAGCCCAAGAGAAGGCACAAGGATCAGAGAGCCCCTCATTCACACACTCAGGAGTCCCATGAGAACACTAAACTGAAAGCTATAATACATACACAGAGGGCCTGGTACAGGAAGTTTTGTTATTTATAAAGTGACTCAGATAATGTGTAACTTCCAAAAGTGAAAGCTTTGATTTCTGGGAAAGGAATTTCTGCTCTTCTTAAGAATGACAGTCATTTTAACTTACTCATGAGTCACTGGTGTCCTTTCTGAAATAAAACATGCTGAATAATCTTAAAACTTTTAACTCACCCTAAGTGAGGATGTACACAAGAGCCAGTACAAGCTTACTTTGAATTAGAGTTGACCATCTGCAGCCAAAGGTCACCCAGGACCTGGCTGCTTCTTCCCAGCCCCCAGGAAGAACCAGCTGGATGCTTGAGGTTAGGCATGCTCATACCTTCTGCTTCCCAATATCCACCAGCTCCACGGAGCCCCCCAGCATCTGGACATCAGCGGCAGCCACCTCCATCATCCTCCTGATCTCCCCTCTCTTCTCCGGCCAGGCGGACACGCTCTGGATGGCCACCCATTCTGCAAGTTTCTGTTTGTAGAGAGCAAGTGGAAAGGGCTCTGAAACGCTGTTCTTTAAGGACAGGGACGGGCTCCTCAATGGACCTCTACCTACAGCTACTCCACTTCATGTGCGGAGCAGACCTCGCTTGCCTGCTCAACAGAACTATGCTGTTCCTACCCCCAAAACTAAGCCGAAAGGGGATATGTCAGAATGTGCACTTTTAACCAGGAAGCATATGATTATAAACCATACAATTACATAAATAAGTTTATACCTATAGCCAACAAAATTGCAACAGAAAAAAAGCATACTGCAATGTCTTCAAGTAACATCCAAGTTAGTTCACTTGTTTCCCTGACAGCAGCCAAGCTGTAAGTTTTAGAGGGAAAAGTCAAAATGTTTCATCTAAAGTGGTTCTTCCAAAAGTAAACTGAAGTCATAATTCTTTCAGATAAAAACCAAGAAACAGTTTAAATATAACATCATAATATCATTCAGAACATGCTGGATTCAAGCTGTTTTTTTTTTTTTTTTTTTTTTGGTTTTTCGAGACAGGGTTTCTCTGTGTAGCTTTGCGCCTTTCCTGGGACTCACTTGGTAGCCCAGGCTGGCCTTTAACTCACAGAGATCCGCCTGGCTCTGCCTCCCGAGTGCTGGGATTAAAGGTGTGCGCCACCACCGCCCGGCTTTGTTTTTTTTTTTAATCTATAACTATCACAAGAAACCATAGATAAGATTAGAGAAAAGTAAAGAGCATTATTTGTAGAGACGAATAATTAACTGTCAAAGGACAAAACTGTGACTTTCACCATCATGAAATGAAGAAACATGAAATTTTAATACTTGATCAAAATGGCATAACTCACATTAGCTTCTTGAAAACCTCTCTGACTTGACAAGATTCAGACGGCTCTCACTATTAACTTAGGAGAGACAGACAGACCCTCACCTTGACATAGCGGTCCTGGTTTTCATCAATATACTGGAAGACGGTTCTGAGGGCTGACATCTTTCAGGCAGACTTCAGACCTTGGAAACTCTGAGCAGAGAGAGCAACGAGTCAGACCTGCCTGCAGCTGAGACTGAAGGGCAGTGGTCAGAGGAGCTGCCTAAGGACAGAGAAGTGCTGCTCCACCCTCCGTCAGCACTGATTGCGACAGGACACGTATCACAGGACTCTCCAGGAAGTGACTGGGAGCCAGTCAGAGGCTCAGATTAACCTTCCCTTCCTTGCTCCAAAGGAAAAGCTCCAGCAAATTTTGTGTCCAAAGAGCAGAGCCCCAGTGGCAGACAATCTGAAGAAAACTGTAAGTGGGTACCTTCCAATCACATGGATTTACTGTGCATTTTATTTTTTGAGATGAGTTCACACTATCGCTGTGCTGGAACTTTCTGTGCAGACCAACCTCACATTGAGATCCACCTGACTTCTGAGTGCTAGGATTAAAGGCGTGTGCCACCATGCCTAGCTGGCATTTACTTTTTAAATGTTATACTTTTTTTTTTTTTTGAGATGGGACCTCTTGTGGCCTGAGTTAGCCTGAAACATCTGGTCCTCTTGCCTCTCCCTTCTGAATGTTGGAATTACACGTCCAAACCACCAAGCCTGATTTATTTAGTGCTGGGATCAAAGCCAGAGTTTCCTGCATGCTAGGCAAGCGCTCTATCAACTGAGCTACAGTCCCAACGTTATACTCTTAAAGCACAAGGTGAACTATTAACCTTCTATTGCTAGAGGAAATAATCATTTCAAAGATCTCAATAAAAATGTCACAGACTGGGTGTGGTAGCAGATGCCTTTAACCCAGGACAGGGGAGGTAGAGGCAGGTGGATCTCTGAAAAGTATGAAGCCAGCCTGTTCTATACATTGCGAATTCCAGGCCAGCTACGGATACATAGTGCAACTCTGTCTCAAAAAGCAAGCAAATAAACCAACAACAAAACCCCCCAACATGCTGCTTTTTTTTCCTTTTCGAGACAGGGTTTCTCTGTGTAGTTTTGGAGCCTGTCCTGGAACTGGCTCTGCAGACCAGTCTGGCCTTGAACTCACAGAGATCCACCTGCCTCCTCCCAAGTGCTGGGATTAAAGGCGTGTGCCACCACCGCCCAGCAACGCTGCCTTTTCAACTGCAAACCTACACCCAGCCCTAGGAACCAGAAAGCAAGAAGAATTCAGCTGGACAACTGATATCGCTAGCCACAGACTGCAGTCAGTCTCCTTAAGGGCCAAAGAGGAGAAAGCTCCCACCTCACGTGAGAGTGAAGGAGCAGTTGTGAACTTTTTTTTAGAAAGCTAGAAGGGAAGTTCAGTGTTCCCATCACAAAGAAATGGCCAATGCCTGAGGAGCTGTAGGCCCCAGTTTGCCCACTAGATGGATATGGTGCACACATGTATGGACACATATTAGGCACCCCACAAATATGCTCAATGTCTGCATCTTCTGGCCAATCCCCGCCCCCCTCCGTGCGCACACGTGCGCCTCTTTTTCTTTTTTTAAAACAAAACAAAAACAGAATCTCATGTACCCCAGGCTGTCCTTAAACTTCTGGTCCTCCTGCTACCACCTCCACATGCTAGAATAATAGGCCTGCACCCCCACACCTAGTTCATGAGGTACTGGGGATGGAACCCAGAGCTTCATGTATGCTTGACGAGCACTCTACCAACGGAACTACAACTCCAGCCTTCTGGGCACATGTTCTAACATTAGGTTTTCATGCCTGAGACCCCAGAGCTCCTGTCCTCTACAGAGGCGGGAGAAAGTAATCTGTGGAACCGCTTTTAAAATGGGAATCAACGTGAAACACAAATGACTCGGGCACTGAGACTTGCAACTGGTGTTTTCTCCTGCTTCAAGTATCAAGACTTGGACATCGTTAAGCACAGGTGAAACGGAGCTCAGTTGTGCTGAGGAAATTCATGCTGCAGTGACTCCAAGTGACCTGGAGTCACTGCTGCCGCGTGGTCTCCATTGGTTGCGGCAGAAATGGCGGCACAGGTACAGGTAAAGAACACTGTTTCTTAGTACAGGATCCCAGGGCAGTTTCTAAACAGAGTTGATTTACCGTGACACAAAGCATGGCAGCCATGCAGTGCACAGAGCAATGGAATCTCAGGGCACTTCAAGTAGTGAACAGGGATGCTGCAAGGGTGGGGCACCGAACTACCAAGTCCTCAGTGCCCTCACGATCTTTTCCTCCTTTTTAAAACCTAGCACAGTAGAAGAAATATTTCTAGACCCGCCACCACCTCACAGCCTTACCCGAAAGGGCCTCTGGGAGATTCCAGATATTACCCAGGTGTTTATCAGTGTTAAGTTTCACCCATCTGTCACCAACTATGCACGGGGAAGGTACTTGTTTACCTGATGAAACCTTACCCTGCAGAACCATCTGCTACACTGGGTACTTTTCACTGGGGTTCCTGGTCCTTACATAAACCCCAAACACTGTGGCTCAGCATCACATCCTCGCAGCTAAATTAACAATTTTGTTGCTGTTGTTACACAAAGATGTAACGATCAGGGCAGTAAAAGGGAGGTTTCAACTACCCCACAGAGTTCCCAGGGCACGTTAAAGCAAACCCTCCCTTTAAACTGTCCCTCCAGACACAGCAAGTTAAGCCAGGTCCCACTCTCCCTCCCACTAGGCTCCGATGACTCCTGCTTCACCTCCGCCAACATCAAGGTCATCAATTGGAAACCATTTAGTAAGGCAAAAAGCAGTGTTGGTGGGTTGAACAGACGCAAACTTCCTGCCAAATACGATAACAACCTTACTATCGCTAAGCTCTAAGTCTTAAGTTTTCCAGGAGCAGTACAATCAGGATCCCACGCTGCATGGATGTTAAATGGTCTTTTAATAAAAAACAAACAAAAAAAAAAACAAAAAAAAAACCTGGAGCCAGATATTGGGGTAAATGCTAAAAGATCAGAGGAAACAAAGGAACAAGGCACTGCTAAGTCTCACCTCGCCAACTCCACAAATCCTCTGACTCAAGTTCTTATCTCCTCACGCCTTACATACCTTTCTCTGTCCAGCCATATTACTTCCTTCCTATTGCTGGAATTAAAGGCGTGTGACTTCCAGGTACTGGGATTAAAGGTGTGTGCCACCACCGCCTGGCTCTATTTCTCTCCTGGACTGAATTAATCTCATGTAATCCAGGGTGGCTTTGAACTCACAGAGATCCAGACATATCTCTGCTTCCTTAATGCTAAGATTAAAGGTGTGTGCAACCACTGCCTGGTATCTATGTTTAACCTAGTAACTTGTTCTGTTCTCTGATCTTCAGACAAATTTTATTAGGGGACACAATATATCATCACAGTCCCATGACAGGGTCTTTGTCTCATTACTCAGAGTTGGTGATCACATGCCTCTGTGGAGAATATTGGCGGCTCCAGGCTCTCAAGGGTTAGGACAGTGGATCAAACATCTACTCCACTTTACAAATGAGTAAACTGAAACTGGTGAATGAATGAATGGCCTGCTCGCACCAGAAAGCTGGCAAGGGGAGACCTCTCTTCGGCTGATCCATCCTAGGGGCAAGGTCCAGCTGGACCCTGCCCAGGGCCTTTGCACCCAAGGCGCTGTCTGGAGCCAGGCAGCGACCTCAAAGTGTAGGCGTGAGGACTGCCCATCCTTTGCTCCCTGCGACCCTTCGCCCCCAAGATGCCAAGCAGGCTGGCCTGGGCGCACAGCCCATCGGCCCTGCAGGGCCAAGTGGGTGGCCCGGGGGACCTGGCACTTGTGGGGCCCGGCCGATCAGAACCAGCCCTGGCAGCGAGGGAGCGCTGGGTACCAGGCGGGCCCGCACCGGGGCCTGGGGTGACTCAGGCCTGGGCTGGCAGTGCTTTAGGGATCCGGGACCTCCCGACCTCCGCCGCTCCCAGCTGGATGCCCCGGGTCCCGCACTTCCCTGCAGACCAGCGTGACTCCCGCACCGCCCGGCCGCGTGCTCAGCCCGCCCCGGCCCCCGGCCCCCTTCGCGGAAGGAAGGCCCGCGGAGCGCCTGCTTACCGCGCCGGTTCCGCACCACGTGTCTCCGGCCGCCCCACCAGCCAATGCCCGGAGGCCTGAGGCTGGCCCTGCCCCGCCCCGCCGACGCTCCCCTCCCCAACAGCCAATGGCCGAGCTCCTCGGGATAGCCCCGCCCTCGGCCGCCCCGCCCCCTGCCTCCGAGCAAGGGCGGAGCGCTTGATCAGCTGTGCCGGCCGTAGCCACGCCCCTCCTCCGCTTGACCACCCAAAGGCGTCCGCTAGAAGTCCCCTCCAGTGCTGCCTTGAAACCCAAAATTGAGGAGTTCACCCTCAGTTTCCCGAGAATCCCGCGTCGCTCTCCAGAGGGACCTGCGTTTCCCATTGCTCTCCTGTTCCTGCAGAAGCCAGGGAATGGACAATTCTGCCGGCTGCACACCCTCCACTTCCATCCGTTTGATTACAAAGCACACACAAGTGCTGGACTTACCAATTTGTGGCTTCGTTGACAGCCCCTTCCCACATTTTAAATTATATATACATATATATAATACCCATATATACATATATATGCATGTGTATGTGTGTATATATATTTTAATTATATATATGTGTGTATATATATATATGTGAGTGTTCTGCCTGAATGTATGTATGTATGTGCACCACTTGGGTACCTGGTGTCTGAGGAGACCAGAAGAGGGCATCAGATTCCCCAGAACTGGAGTTATGAGATGGTTGTGAGCTTTATGGGTCCTGGAAATCCAAGCCGGGTCTTCTGCAAGAGCAACAAGTGCTCTCAACCTCTGAGCCATCCCACCAAACCTTCCAGCAATCATAGTTGCAAGGAATATAGTCCCACATACTGCAAATATTCTAAAATACAATGACCTTTTCCTTCTTAAAATTTGCATGAGTTTTCAACATTCCTTCAGAATTTTGCTAAATATGATGTTTTATACCGATAGTCTTTTAACTCATGACTTCTGTCATACTTTTCTACATATATATATCACAGCTATATATATGTATATATATATGCATATATATACATATATATATATGTGTAACATGAATTCCTAGAGGTCTTATAATAAAAACCCGGAGCCAGATATTAGGATAAATGCTGAAGGAAAAAATGCTGATCAGAGAGACGAAGGAACAAGCCACTAGAGAAACTTCTCACCACTGCCGAATCCTCAGGCCAAATGGAAGGTGAGATCTCTCTCCACGAATCCTCTGACAGAAAGTTTCTGAGTCCTCAGCTGAAAGCGTCTCTCAGCCAAAAAGGCCTAGTTCCTGTCTCCTCGCGTCTTAGATGCCTTTCTCCGCCCAGTCATTTCACTTCCTTCTTAGTGCCGGCCTATTTGTGAGGCATGTGTGCTTCCCAAATACTGGTAGGAGAGGCATGAGATCTCAAGTGCTGGGATTAAGAGTGTGTGCCACCACTGCCTGGACTCTATGTTTAATCTAGTGGCTGGCTCTGTCCTCTGATCCTCAGGCAAGCTTTATTTGATACACAATTTATCACCACATATATATATGTGTGTGTGTGTGTGTGTGTGTGTGTGTGTGTGTGTGTGTGTGTTTTGAATTTTTATTTGATTAAAATATAATTATGTCATTTTCTCCCCTTCATTTCTCCCCACCATCCCCATGTTTCCTGACCTCTCATGGCCTTTTTTTCCTTTAATTATCATTGCTACATAAAATAATAAATCATTACGTGTATTACTAGAGATTGAACTCAGTGCCTCAAGCATTCTAGAAAGCACAATCTCACTGATATAATTTGTTGTTGGTTTGTGGGTTTTGTTTGTTTTTGTTTCTTTGAGATAAGTGTCCTGTAGCCCAGGATGCTCTGCAGCTGGACTTGCATTTCTGATCCTCCTGCCTCCACTTCCTGAAAGTGCTGGGATTACTGGTGTGTGCCACCATGCCTGACCTAAAATATCTATAATTTTTAAAAATTTGTATTTACTGCATTTTTAATTATGTGTAGGGGTGTGTATAAACCAGAGGTGTTGGATATCCTGGAGTTGGGGTTACAGAAGGTTGAGTCACATGATGTGGGTGCTGGGAACTTGGGTCCTCTGGAAGAGCAGCAAGTAGTCTTAACTCCTGAGCCATCTTTCCAGCCTAGGTCTATAAACTTTAAGTGTATTTGTTTTAGCTGTTTACTTTTTTCCTTTTGAACTGGGCATGGTGTTCATGTCTGTAACCAGGATTTGAGATGCAGAGGCAGGAGAACCTAATACACAGGGAATTCAAAACGAGCCTGAGTTTCATGAGATCCTGTGTAAAAAACCAAAAACAAACGACTGTTCTGGGTTAAATTATGATTATGATTATTAGTACACGAATGACTTAAAAATCCCCAACTCTTTCACATTTTGGCAAACAACTTTTAGATATTAAAAGTAAAAGCTTGAGCCGGGCGGTGGTGGCGCACGCCTTTAATCCCAGCACTCGGGAGGCAGAGCCAGGTGGATCTCTGTGAGTTCAAGGCCAGCCCGGGCTACCAAGTGAGTTCCAGGAAAGGCGCAAAGCTACCCAGAGAAACCCTGTCTTGAAAAACCAAAAAAAAAAAAAAAAAGTAAAAGTTTGGAATGCTTTAGTCATATCTACTGAGGTAGAAGGAAAAACATCATGGATCAGCGTCAAGAGGTGGAAGGAAAAACATGAGAAAAGAAGTAAGGGGGAGACAACCGGGAAGAAGAGGAGGAGGAGGAAGAGGAAGAAGAAGAAAGAAAGAAAGAAAACATCAGGGTAGAAGAACAGAGCAGAAAAAGAACAGAGTAGGAAGAACAAGCAGCAGAGAAATAAATAAATGCAGAATTAAGCTTTGGCCCTCAGATAAAGTTCCTGTGTGTGTCTGTGTGTCTGTCCGGTAGTTCGCCTACTTCTCACCTCCTCTCCAGTTTCTTTGACCTGCTGTGTGCTGGGCCTCTTGGCAGCACCAACAGGATCTTGCTTTTTAGTACACCAAATTAAAGATCCTCCGGCCTCATCTCTCCAGGGTTCCAGGCACCTACATGCACAGCTGCAGTGAGCTAGACAGGGCTGAATGCACAGCTCGTTCCTGGTAGCTGTGTTGGCACACCCGTGGTGGGATTACATAAACAAGCAAAGAAGCCGCTGTAAACCAACGCGAGCAGGAGGCTTGGGCCGGGTTGAAAATGAATATGCATTTGTGAGACTTTATCGTCCTCTGTCAAAAGATGGTGAAAGTATTTTCCCTATGAACCCGGATAAATGTTAAGAAAACCCAAAACTTACCCTTCGCGTTGGGCATTTTATATTTTTATATCTCTAGAAAGTATAACTTTCAAGATCCAACTCTTTGAAATACGCAAAACACGCTTTTGACTGTGGTTAAGGCACTAAGGCGTCCTCTTCCAAAAAGATAGGGTTGGATTTGCAATTCTGCATTTGAAATGCGACGAGGTTTGGAGTTGATAAAAAGCACGATACTCTTAACAAGCACACCGGGAGTTAACACGGGCTTTATCCAGGCAGCTCCTCATTCCGACATGGAGCGTGCGCCCTCTGCTGTCAGCCCTCAAGACCACCAGTCCCGGGGACAGCACCGGTGGAACGGGAACAACTGGACACTGAAGTCTTCAAACTCAAACTCGGAGCCCTGTTCAAGAAGCTCAGGGTCGGTGACTTCCAATCTGAGCTCCGCCCCAAACAGCAAGGAGAGCTAGTGATCATGTTTCTGAGTATACAGCAGGTGGCGCTGCAGGCCAGTTCCGTAATAAAGGGTGCGCAGCAGGTTGAACAGAAACACGTCTGAGCATCGAGGGGGTAGATATGTGTGTTGCCTTGGCTGAATTTAGAGAGAACAGGGGCAGTAAGACAGAAAACAAGGAGAGAGGTGTATATACGGGAGACAAGAGACTGGGTGCTTCGTAAAGAGGAATCGTGCGACCTCGTTCTGAGAACGTAGGGAGTGCAAGCACCACAGACTTATTGATTATTGATCCATTTGAGCAATATTAGTGCACGCTTCCAATGGCTGCATTTTCAGTTCCCAGAACGATACAGTGTCATCTCCAGAACCCCACTGGACTCTGATGAACTAGCATAACTGGACACGAAGACGATAGGACCACCCGCCTCTCTGGCAAACAGTTTCCGGGGGAACAGAAACCAATTTGGAGAGCACATTCTTCAGAATCGTGGATAGAGAAGTTATTGGTTGACAAGGAGAAGAACGGCCAAGTAGGATGGCACTCAAGGGAAATCAGAGTGTAAGCAGATTGAGGCCTCCCAAGTGCTAGGATTAAAGGTGGGTGCAACCACTGCCTGGCCTCTGTGTTTAATCTAGTGGCTTGTTCTGTCCTCTGATCTTCAGGCAGATTTTATTTGTTCAAAATATCACGACAAGGAGCTGATGCTGATGCAGAGACCATGGAGGAGTGCTGCCTACTGCCTTACTCCCCATGGCCTGCTTTCTTACAGAACCCACCATCACCAGCCCAGGGATGGCACCACCCACAGTGGACTGGGCCCTCCTCCACTAATTAAGCAAATGCCCTACAGGCTTGCCTACCACCCCATCTTATGGAGGCATTTTTTAAATTGAGGTTGATTCCAGCTTATGTCAAGTTGGCATAAAACTATCCTGCAGAGCAGGAATGGTGCTATACACCTGTAATCCCAGGATGTAGGAAATACAGGCAAGGAGATTGCCAGTTGGGGCCAACCTGGGATTTGAGGTCTTTTTTCAAAATAAGCAAACAAATAAAAAGGTTGTTTTAAATTGCCAAGTGTGATAATTCACTGCTAGAAAATGAATACCCCATACTGCCTTTCTACCTAAACATCAACCTTCTGATGAGGGTATGGTGCACACTTGAAGGTCAGAGGGCAACTTTGGAGGAGGAAGAGGAGGAGGGAGAGGAGGAGGAGGGAGAGGAGGAGGAGGGAGAGGAGGAGGAGGGGGAGGGGGAGGAGGAGCAGCCACATTTTATCTCTAGTAGTAAAAGTCAGCTGTCTCAGATCTTAATTAAAAATTATCAAGCTAGCATGGATCACTGCACTATTGCCTACAAGCACTCCATCCTATGACATTACAGCTTTACAGAGAGCTTGGCTTACCCTCTTTAACTCCTGAAACTC